TGTGGAGATATATCCTTCCGACTAGTGTGTCGCTCTAGTTCACGAAATATAAGCCTTGAAATCTCAGCATGCCTATTTGGTCGGTGGTGACCTCCATCTTCAAAACAAGATATTTGCCCTGTGTTTATCCACTGCAGAAGATGATTTAAGAAGGGCTCAGACTCATGATGATGTAAGAAAAACATAGATTATTGAATATGAATATAGGAGAAAAGACGGAACAAGACCTTGAGATAGATAGCAGAGTATAAGAGAGCCTCCAATCGATCTTCCCCTTGCAGACTTGCAGTTATAATATCACGTACGATATCAAGCTTGAAAATGAAAATTGTAGATAAAGTTAATAGGTTGATTAAAAACGAAAAAGGTACCGAAAACTACTGGTTTCTAAAAACAGGCAGTATAGAGCAGTTGAGTTTTAAATTCCAAAGGAGAGAAATAAGTTAAAAGAAGAAAGGTCCATAATTAGTGTATGTGAATACCTTTCTCCACCAATTCCTTGCGTTTTGATCAGCTTGAACCAACTTGAGAGACAAGCCTTGAAGGCCTGAAGTGTCCCATTTCCTTTGTGTTTCATGGCTCCGATGCTCGTTGGATTGCATGAAAGAAATAGGTTTACCTTGCCACTGTCCTACAAAGGGACTTGGGTCGGCTTCGGAAGCATCGTACTCGTAACCATTACCCTCCTCCGTATTATCATCTGCTTCATCCAAAGGCTGTAGCTCCAAATTCTCTTGTGTTGCGTTCCACGTAGCGACGGTGGCAAAATGACCGGCCTCGGGCAAGTTCAACACTCTGTTTTGTCCAGCTTCCCAGACTAAGCTCCCGTCCTTGTTGACAGTGACGAATTTAAACTCGATGTGATCGGTCCCTTTAAAGTCCAAGACGCAGACCCATCCATTTTGGGTCCACTTCAAGGGAACATTCTTGGTCCAGGATCCTAATTCTTTGGTTGATCCTCGAATGACAAGGTGATCGCCAAATTGAACCTGGTGATCCAATCGAACTTGCAAACGAACTTTGTGCTTCATGGACACCGAAGTACGATTCGCCTTTCCTTCTTCCTGTTCGAGGTCCCTGACATTGAGAAATTAGTTAGAAAAGAGAGAGTTAGGGTATTATTATACGTAATTTATAGAGAGAATGACCTGGATTGGGTTTGGGGAGAGGAGAGAGCGGAGAGAAGCGGAGGCAAGCGGAGATGGAGAGGGCCAAGTGGAGGGATAGATGGAGGGAGGAATCTGAAATGGTTGTGGTTTTTATTGCGTGAGCGTCTTGAACAAGTGGAAGCGCAGGCACAGGTAGGCGAATACAAACGAAGAGAACCCATTGCGATTTGCGATTTGCGATTTGCGATTTGCGATTGCGTTTTCTTCTTCCTTAGCCACTTATCCCTCTTCTACATGCACTGCTCCCAAAGCAAAAGCATGGATTGATAATGCATCATTCATTTCTGATGGATGATATTTTGTACACCCAGTGTGTATATCACACACGTGGATTATTTATTTCATTTCACATGCATTATCCCCCTAATTTACTCCAATTCCGCCTACTCTCTCCTTTTCACAAGTACAAAAATTACTCCATCACTATGTACATACTAAATAAATATCACACTTCTTATTTAAGCCTTAGGCTGAAATGCATGTTTCAACGTTTATTTGGACTACCAACCCTCTTCCCTCTTCGCACCGTGCTTGCCAGGTTTACTCTAAGATACAGGGTAAATTTCGTGGTTTTTATTTTAATAAAATAATATTTCATCAACAAAAATCTCTTTCACGCATATAAATTAGTCTTTACTTAAGATTTCAGTATTTATGTTTTTTTTTTATATTCACATATATTTATTAAAAATATATATATTTTATCATTTCACAAAATGTATTTACAAAAATGTTAAATATTTTAAACATTACTCTCTTATAAATATTTCTAATCAAATAAGAAAAATATGTGAGACTTTAATCAAATATATTTTATGTATTTGAATGCCTCATTTTCTTTTGTAATCTTGAAGAACTCTAACAATTAATTATGTTAATTAAAGTATAAAATTTAAATTTTCTAAATAAGTTTGCTTGAAAGCGAAAGTAAAACGTGTATTCACAAATAAGTGTCTTACTTTCCAAAATTTTATGGCATATGCTTATTTACTAAATTTAATAATTAATTCAATATATATCTATACAATAATAGTATTTTTATAAACTAATATTTTAATCTATTTTATGTTTAATTTTCATTTGCACTTTATATGTCAAATCTCAATATATTTATCTTAAATCATCGAAATTTTGGTTGTATAATAATATGACTTTTAAGCTTTGGAATTACTCTTAATTATTTTTAGTTGTGTATTAATCATTATATATATAATTACATTTTAATAAACTCAAGCACACTACTTATCATGTGATTTTACATGATTTGTCTCATGTGTAGTATACATATATTAAAAATAAGGAAGTGTTCAGTTGGAAGTTCAATTATTATATATAATTATTTTATTTTTCTTATTGTTTGATATATTTTTATAGTTTAATCTTTAAAATATTTAATTGAAGAATATAATATTATCCATATTAACATGATTTTAGTTATTTTATGGACTAACTTTTACAACTTATTTGTTTAACTACATATACTCACTCTCATTTTGTATGATATTATGTATTATTCAATAAAATATTTTTGACCATTTTTTTGTGACAGTAGAATAACTTATAAATATGAATTTTATTTGTATCTAATATAAAATTTTGCATTATATTTATTTCTTTGTAAACATTTTTATTTTATTTTCTTATTTTTATCTAATGTAAAAATGTTTAAATAATATTTATTTCATAAGTAATTAGTAAAAGAAAACTCCCATGCGTACATACAAATTACTTGTTAGTTTATTTTAAAAAAGTATTTTAATAATAATTACTATTTATTCTAATATTTTTTTAAAAATAATAGTTTAAAAGTCAAAACTCAAATTACTCATATATTATATATGATTTTATGATTTTATTAATCAAGATTTTTTGATTTTAAGATTAAATTTAATTATTATAGTACTTGATTTCTATAAATTTAAACAAATTTAATATATAATTATATAATTATGTAATTAAATATTAATAAATATTTATGAAACTCATATCTATCTCATTAATATGTGGATATAAAAAATACTCATACCTTTACAGTGATTTATGATATTCATTTTTTACACATAATAAAATTTATTCGCAAATATTTGCTGTTTTGAAATTTTTCGCATCCCTAAGTATCAGCCTATCAGGTATGTATATATAAATGTATGATTTTTTTATAGAAAATGATATATATTTGAATATAAAGTGTGTGCTCGAGTGGCAATGGAACAAATACCATTTCATAGTCATGTAGCAAATTCTTACAGAGAAGTTGAAGACTCACTGAGTCCACATTATCCATGGCTCACTCAATGCCATGAATGTGAGCTTCAAGTTGCTTCTTCCTTAGCCAAATACTTCCGAACACCTCCCCATCAAAACTAAGGGAATCCTTTTGAACTTGTTCAAGCGATTGGACAATATCCCCTTTTCTCTGATTCCAAGCTTGTTGCACTAAAGGCCTACAATTCTCATGAGTGCACCACGCGCAGCTTCAAACCGAAACCGAAATAGAATATCACTTTTTATTATTAGTATAGAAACACTTTTCTCTTTCCTTATTTTTAGTATATAAATTTATCTTAATATATTCTTTATTTTCTTTTCAAATACTCTTCGTTTTGTTGAACACATTTGCTTCCAGAAAAGTTGGTTCCCATGTATTCCCATACGCACCCTGTTTCCATAAAGTTTGTGTTCCTAAATATGGGTTCCGTTTAATGTTCTTTTAAAATATTTTGTTTCATCTAACCCCTTTGTTCTTGCTTCCAGAAATGTTGATTCTCCTTTTCTCCTCTGCACTTTCTCTTTTGGAAACATTTTTCCTTTCAATTTCTCAGTTCTTTTCACCAACGTTCATTCCTTTCAACCGAAAGCATTATTTCTTTGTGTAGCTCATGTCCGCATACAAATACAAATTAAAAGAAAACTGAAAATAATAAAATTGTAACGAGATAAAAGGAAATTTAAGAGTATCAAAAACTACTGAAATTATGTTTTTTTTTCTAAAATACGATTTTAAAAATTACTAAAAAGAGAATTGGATCAGGCATAAATAGAAAAAAGCCTATTACATTCGATCATTAAAATATAATTTAAATCCAATCCAAATTGGGTCAGGCATAAATGCATAATCATAGTTTGCGTAGATGAAAAACCCTCCACAGAATTGACAGGTGCAGTCGGAACAAAATCACCCAAGAGGCGATTCCAGTCCGGGTGGAACGTCATATACACCATTCAGTCGAAAAAACACAATGTGGCCAGGAGACAAAAACTTCATAGTGATTCAGGTTAAGGTAATGTGGTCAATATTAAAGGTACCGCAAAACCCTCAATATTCCCTTCCCTCCCCACTTGGCACCAACGACCATCTAAGCAAAATTACAATTCACAGTCCCAGGTATATTTTTCCCAATTCATTATAAGTTTCAATTACTAATTTACAGGTTTGGTTTAATTAGCCATTCAAGAGTAGAAACTGGGTTTATCAATTACTGTTATAAAATTGTGAGTTTCATGGCGAAATGGATACTTACAGTATCAACAAGTCAGACGTGATAATGACTTCATTAATTCCAGTCAAACTTGCAAATCTTAATCGTATGATCGACACGGTTAGATTACAAAGCTAACGCTCTTTTTTCTATGGATGGAAAGAACACTTTAGGAGTAAATTAGAAATGTATTACACAAGGAAATAATGTGCAACAGAACACCAATATTTAATTTAACTGAAAATTTAATATTTTTATATTAAACCAATGTTAAGAAAGGATTAGGTGACATAAATTTTTTAAAATTAACAAATGAAGACACTACAGTTCAATTCATAATTTACCCTAAATATATTGCCAAAAAAAATGATCTTGATATATTTCTCTCTCATAACCAAGTATTTGATCCACTAATGTGTTAGAACATTGTCATAGCAAGCAAGATTTTCAATTACAACATAGCTGTGTGTATCTATGTAACAACATTATAATTGAAATTTAAACCCCAAACTCATTTTTGCAGAAAAAATTAGGTTCAACCTGGCTTACTATGAAAAATGCACAAGAACCGGTACCTCACAGAAAACCAACAGAGTTTGTGTTTGGTTTCACGTCCACAACACTTAACTCGCGTAAAAAAACGTGAAAACAAGAAGTTACTATTTCTTGCTTCTCTGTCAAATTCATGAAAACGTGAATTAATGACGGGAATCCAAACAGGCAAAGACATGGATAATAAAGCTACAAAACAACGTCAAGGTTGTACAGCCTCCAAAAGCTTCTCATAAACTTGTCTAGCAGTCAAATCCTCCACCTGAAACAGTCGTCAAATATTTAAACTAATTCATATGGGCCATCTTATAAGAGGGAATTAGAAATAATTAAATCACTGGAATTAATATGATTCAAAACGAATAGTATTATTTGGAAAGCAGCAGCCCAGATTCATATAAATGTGGATGCTTAATTTGAAGGTATACTTGATAATAATGTAACTCACCACAAGAAGTTTTGATTTGTTATTCCATCCTCTCTGAAGAGTCATCTGACTCAATCTCAAACCCAAAACCTATGTCAAAAATGTGCAGCAGAAAGTTGTTAGTGCTGGAGTTGTCTTTGGCCGGAGGGAAAAGATTGAGCAAAGAGACAAAAAAAAAAAAAAAAAAAAAAGCCAA